TCGCCCAAAAGCTGGAGGTTGCTATGAGCCGTGATGCCACAGCACTCTACCAAGTGCAACACAGTGAGACTCTGTCTCTAAAAAAATACAAAAAGAAAAGAAAAAATAATCATGCACAACACAGACAATGTAAGGAGAAGAGCAAACACTTTCTAAAAAAAAAAAAAACCTGTAACATGCTTAGGGAGATATAGGATATAGGATACTGCATATATAGAGCACAAATAGGTGCTGCAAAAGAGCAATAATCAGAGAAGCAAGCTTGGAAATTAAAAATTGGATAGCTAAAATTAGCATCAGAAATCCAATATAAGAGAAGATAAAACCCAAAATATCTCCCAGAAGAAAGAGGAAGGAAGGAACTGAAACAGAAAATAAAAGATAAAAAGATATGTTTCAGAATAAGAATGATAAAAAAGGCTACCCAAAATACATTAAGAAACAGAAACCAAGGACAAGGAAACAAAAGGCAACAGATTTCTTAAAATCAGTCCTAGAAATCAATGAAATACTAATTTCAAAAGTCTGAATGACAGTTATTTACAATCCCAAATATAGTCTAACTATCAAGTATAAGGATAGTAAATAAAAAGACATTTTCAGCCATTAGCTCAAAATTATTTTCAAAGCGTTCTTTCTTAGAAGGCTACTAGGAAATGTGCTCCAACAAAACAAGAGTGTAAACTGAGAAAGATGGCATGAGATCCAAAAAACAGGCTATAAAACAGGATAGCAGAGAAAGACAGCTTTCTGTAGGAGAATGACAGTTGTTGAGAAGGAGGGCTCTGGGACTGGGCAGAAGAAATATTACTGAAGGCTGTAAGATTATAGAACATTTGGGAGGGGGACAAATAACAATGGGTACATACAAAAAGGTAATACTATATATTTAAATTAAATTTAAAAGGCAAGTATGTATTAAGTTCAAGGAAAATGAGATATGGTCATATTATACTACCAAGGAATAATATTTACACAAGCAAAATATAAATCCTATTAAGTTAACCAAAAATTACGTTATTAAAAGCAAGCAGGGAAAACATGGGGAATCTACCATGGTTAATAATGTCTAAAATGTCAAAAAACAATAGATAGCAATGAATATGTTATTTAGAAATATGGAATAACTAGGATAATAGTGAAAGTGAGGATTGAAAGGAACTACCTTTGATAAGTACTACGGACTTTTGAAACTATAGTTCTTTTGTTAAAAATTTTTGGTGAACTATTTCCTTTATAAAAAACTGACTAGGATGTGAAAAGTAAGTTATAAAGGAAAAATGAGTTGGAAAAAAGACTAGTTAGGAAAGAAAGCAAGCCAAAGATGACGATGGTGACAGTATTTTCTCTTCATGGAGAAGATAGAATATTTCCAATTTTTTTAAGGTATAAAAGTTAGAAATTCTGTGCTAACTTAAAGCACAGAAGTCCATGTGCTTTAGGGGCAAAGGCTAGAAAGGAAGAGGCAAAAATCAAGGATGACACAGAAGTCTTTAGCTGGAACCACTGAGTGGAAGCAGGTAACACTGCAGATGGGAAAGACTGAGGAAGTAACAGGAGGTAAGGAGTTTTGTTTAAGGTGTATTAAATTTGATATACTTATTAGATATTCCATTGGGGATATCAATAAAAAAGTTTGATGCATGAGCTTGGCGCTCAGGAGAGAAATGAGAGTTACAAGCTCGGTGCCTGTAGCTCAAGTGGCTAAGGCGCCAGCCATATACACCAGAGCTGGCGGGTTCGAATCCAGCCTAGACCTGTCAAACAACAATGAAAACTACAACCAAAAAATAGCTGGGTGTTGTGGCAGACACCTGTAGTCTCAGCTACTTGGGAGGCTGAGGCAAGAGAATTGCTTAAGCCCAGGAATTGGAGGTTGCTGTGAGCTGTGATGTCACAGCACTCTACCTAGGGCAATAGCCTGAGGTTCTATCTCAAAAAAAAAAAAAGAAAGAAGTGAGAGTTACAGGTAAACATTTTACAGTCATTAGTTACAGTTGGTCTTTAAGTCTCTAGGATTAGATAAGATACCATACAGAAAGAATAGGAAAAAGAAAATATAAATATATTTGTATATTATGAAGATAAAAGCAGAAAATGAAACATCTCATGGAGTAAAGGCAAGCAATAGTCCCTAAACTTTTCATTTCAGAGACAGGTGATAGGTAGGAAGATGTAAACTGATGGATAAACATAACAGTTTATATACTTATGAATGTGCTAGGAATAATATATTTCCTCCTATAGTAGGTTGTAGTTTAACAATTTAAGAAATTCTGGGGGATGAGAAGCTAAGAAAACATAAATAGCCACTATGGTAGGAAGAACACCATGGAAGTACAGCTTACAAAAAGCAAAAGAAATGCTTGTCAAAGAAATATTTTTATGCCATACTTCCACTGTAGAGAATGACTATAACAGGTTAAGTTCAATTAGTACTGATAAGTGCCTACCAGGAGCTGGTGATAAGGACAGCATTTGTTATTGACCTTGACAAAGTAGCTTCAGTGAATAGTAGCAGTGGAAAACATTTTAGAATCAATGAGAGGTGAGAAAGCAGAGACAGTTCAATACAGAAAAGGAAAACCTCCTTAGGAACCTAAAATTTGCAATCAGAATTCTCAAGCAAACTAAGGTATGAATTCCTTGGGACAGAACCCTGTCACAAATTCTTTGTTCCCAGTGCCTAGTAGACACTCAGCACTCAGTATGCTAAACTGAATAAAATAGAAAACAGGAGATCCAGCCCCAAGGGCAGAAGCTCTTAATCTGATCTCCAAGTTTGGGAATAAGGAAGAGGAGTCCATGAAATCTCTGAAACAGGGGGGTGGGTGGTGGGTGTATTGGTGCATTTTTCTTCTAAAAAGTGGGAAGATTCACAGCATTCACCAGATTCTCAAAAAAGCTCTTGACCACCAGAAAGTTAACAACAATTGTTTTAGGAGCTTACACTCTAAGCTATCCAGCTAGTCCCTAGGTCACTCAGTGTTAAAGACATGGTGCTTGTATGTTCCCCCAAAATTCGTAAGTTGAAGTTCTAACCACCAATATGACTGTGCTGTATTTGGAGATAAGGTTTTTTTAAAGAAGTAATTAAGGTTAAATCGGGTAATAAGGGTGAAGGCCCTAATCCAATGACTGACATCCTGGTAAGAGGAGATTGGGTCACAGACACAAAGACCACGTGAAAACACAAGAAGAGATGACTATCTAATGGCCCTAATCCCGTGACTTGGATCCTTAGAAGAGATTGGGACACACACAGAGAAAAGATCATGCAAGGACACAGAGAGACCACCATCTATAAGCCAAGGAGAAAGGCCTCAAAAAAAATCAGTCTTGCTAACATCTCAATCTCAGACTTCTAACCTCCAGAGAACTGTGAAAAAATAGATTTGTTAACATATTCACCTGTGGTATTTTGTTATGGCAGTCCTAGAAGCGGCGTCCTACTTTTCTCTCTCAAGGCTGGTCAGATCCTTCCCTCCTCTCCCCAAGACTCTGCCCCACGCTCTTCAAAACATGAGGTTACCCCATTATTAGTTCTCCCGACGAAAAATGTATTAGGATCACTTCTTCACAGATCATTAGTTCTTGACCATTCCAACCTAAATAAGATGTTCTTTTTACCTAGCCCACTTTACCCCTTATTCCATAATGTTTTCAGAAACTAAAGGCACTTTTAGAAAAATGAGTAAAATTAAACCATCAAAGAGCTGTTGAGAGAGGAGAGAGCAATTAGGAATTCTGATGCCCCAGGGGTAAATTTGGCAAATTCTATCCAAGGTGTAGTAGGGTCCGATCCCCATGTCCATTATGCATTCAAATTTGAAAGGACAGCATGTGCTTTCCTCCTTCCCGACATGCAAACAAGTCACAAGGATCTGGTTTTCCTTACTTCAAGAACCTCAAACATCTACAGTTAGTTCAAAATGCTGACATCATGAGCAGAAAATTACAGAAGGTTATTCAGCTGCTTTATCTTATCAGAAAAGAAAGGCTGCAAATTAAAAGCTTTAACTCTGATGTCATAATAAAACATAACAAATTTTAAATATACATACAAATATATAAATACAAATACACAGACATACATATGCACCACCCCACACATATCTTCAAGTTCTACTACGCATTTATTAGTACACTGTGTAATGAATAAGACTATAGTCATTTTTATGAATTCTGACCAATTACTGCATCAACCTGAACCCATACTTCAGTCTTGTAAGTATGAATAATTTCACTGACATCTGTTCTCAACACTTTTCACATTTTCACAACAATCAGCCACTTTGCTAAGAGACCTGTAGTTATCAGTTACTGTGTATAAAGAAATCAAAAAGAGATAAAAGTGCACTAACATTATCTTGAGAAGAAAGTTTAATGTCCTCTCATTCCAAGAAGGAAAATACCCACAGCAAACAAAATAGCACCATTATTACAGAACTAAGGGTTAGGTTACCTGACCCTGGGACGTTTAATATAGCCGCTGTTTTTCAGTTGTGCCTGGTCTCAACACCTCCACTTGGAATTTAGTTGAAGCCTGAAGTCTGAATAAACAAACAATTTCACCTGTGCTGAAAACCCAACTCACTCCTTGATTAAATAAAGGTCGTGAAACCTCTCATTACCATTAAAGTCAGAACCTGTGAGAAAGAAAACGGAGTAACCAATCACTTCACCTTCGAATACAGGCCAAGGTTAAAATCTGTGCAGACTGTGGTTAGAATGGCAATCAAGAGCAGACGCTGTCAGTGAGGCTGTAAACCCAGAGTCAAGATGCCCAGCTCTGGACACCGTCCCTTCCCTCTCCAGGATGCCCGCGGGCCTGCCATGGGCCAGGGACACATCTCCTCTGCGCTCGCTCCTGAGAGGTATGGGGGCAACAATTGATTTCAAGACATTTGTCCATCCTCGTTTTTTTAAAAAACTGACAAAACAAGCAAGTCAGCAACCTGGCGTGTGCAACTGCCCCCTCCGCGGACGTCCCCACTCACCGCACACCATCAGCAACAGAACGATCAGCAGCGTGGCCACGAACACCAGCAGGGTCAGCCCGACGTTGTGCCACATCTTGCCGGGAGGGTGGTCTGCTCAGGACCTCGGGCGCCGGCTGGCTGGCAGCGCGTCCTGGGCTTCAGCGGCGGGCGCCAGGCGCGGCGGGGCGCCAGGGCAGCATGGGCGGCGGACGCCCCCTCGGCAGCGCCCCCACGGGGCGGGGCGGCGCAAGGGCGGGCACTGCGAGTTGTCTGCCCGACCGGCCCTCTTTCTCGCTGCGGCTACCAGAGCGCGCGAAGCAGGCGGGCCCCAGGGCGTCTCTAACCCCTCATCGCTCCGGGGAGCCGGGGCCGTGGGATCCTGAGACCCGGACGACGGCCGGACGCGCTTCCATGTCAGACGCTGTGCGCCTGTGGAGAGGAGAGAGGACCAACACAGGAGCACAAGACAAACCCACGGCTCTCGTAGCTGCCCGCCTGAGTGTCCCGCTGCCCCCAAAGACGCCAGATGTCAATGTCTCCTGGCGGCGGCTGCAGCGCCTTCACGGCCCCAGGCCCCCTCCCCGTGGCGGCTCATCACCGCGCGCCCCCTCCACTCGCCTTCTTCGCGGCGCGGGGACGTCTGGGAAATGGAGTGCGGAGCCTGGTGAGGGTGGGAGGGTGCTGTCCTGTGTGGACTACAACTCCCAGAATGCACCGGCTCTGGGGGCTTTGCTTCTCCCTCCCTCTCGCCCCTTCTGCCTTTGGTCTTTCTCAAGCTATCGCCGCTTTCCATCCGCAGCGGGATGGGGTTCTCGGAACCCGCGGAGTTGGCTTCCCTGCCTGCCGAGGCGTCCGTGAGATTTCAACCATTACTCCACATTCAGAGTCGTCTGATTTCAAGCAGCGATCTACCAAGTATGCAGAGGGAGGAAAGGGGAGGTGACCGCCTGAAAAACTGGTTACTCTTGAGTCAGCCCCATTGCTGGGGGCGAAGATTGGGTACTTGGGAGGAAGTAACTCAGGTCTCTGTCAAAGAGAGGGGCCAGGGACAAAGAGTCTCCTTCCCCCTCACTTCGCCCCCCAGACGAAAGTTGAGTTCTGTGTTTTCATGGGTAATGTTTTTCAGAAGTAACCCACGAGTGACTTAAGGACATCTATAATGCTCTTAATTCACCTACCTGAAAGTAGTTTTTAAGTTTGATTCAGCTGCTTCCTTGAGACCAAACGACAGGTGACCCACAGCTGAAGATTGTTGCTGCTCTGGCTTGAACAATCCTCTGTGAAATAAGACACTTTAACAATATCAAATACTCTATCGCCAACCGAAATTAACACCACCCCCCACCCCCCAGTTACACCACGTTACATTCATTAAAGAAGTGCACAGTAGTTAAGGCGCCGGCCACGTACACAGAAGTTAGCAGGTTCGAACCCTGCCCGGGCCAGCTAACCAACAATGACAACTGCAACAAAAAAATAGCCGGGCGTTGTGGTGGGCGCCTGTAGTCCCAGCTATTAGGGAGGCTGAGGCAAAAGAATCACTTAAGCCCAAGAGTTTGAGGTTGCTGTAAGCTGTGATGTTACAGCACTCTACTGAGGGCGACACAGTGAGTCTTTGTCTCAAAAAAAAAAAAAAAATCAGAAGGGAAGAGGATAAATGGGTCCCTCTTGTAGAAGGAATCGCAGCTTTCACATTTTCCTGTAACTACTGGTCCCTGCAGTACTTTCTACTCTTCTGGTAATTACTGTTTCCTGTCTTCTGTCTCCACAAACAAATCTAAGCTGCAATCCTAGCTGCCCTACTGTGTGAGCTTTATTCCCTAAGAGGCAGCATTATGAGCCAAAGCCATATCTGGAAATACAATAAGAGATCATTTCTTTGCTGAGTATGGTCCTATGACGACAGAATGAACCCAGCGTGATTAAGATACATTTACAAAAAATCAATTTGTACTTTTTTCATGGATGGTTCGATTAGATTGCATAAGAAAAATGTTATAGTAAAAGCCAGTTGAAAATAACACACAGAAGAATTTCTTAAAGGTTTTCTTTTCTCTTTTTATTCACACCTATTGAATATCTATAGGTGCCAAACATTGTTCTAAATACTGGGGATAGAACAGTGAATAAGACAAACAAGGTGTCTGCATTCAAGATACTATACTGTGTTACAATGGAAAAATACAGACGATACTCATAAATAGGGAAGTCTCAGGAATTGCTAATTCCTGAAATGAAAATGGGGAGATGTGATGAAGATAGTGATCTTATGATATTTTAGGTCGAGGGAATCAGGGAAGGCCTACCTGAGGAAGTAGTGTTTATTCTGAGTCCTGAATGACAAGAAGGAGCCATCGAAAGACCTGCAGGGATCCTCAAACTTTTTAAACAGGGGGCCAGTTCACTGACCCTCAGATGGTTGGAGGTCCGGACTGCACCCGGGCCCTGGGACTAGTCAGCTGCTAAGCAGGACAGAAAGCGGTGGCAAAAACACCTGGCGGACCGGATAAATGTCCTAGGCAGGCTGCATGTGGCCCGTGGGCCGTAGTTTGAGGACTCTAGACCTAGAGGAAGAGCATACCTGGTAATAGGAACAGCTACAAGCAGCAGACAAACTTGTCCATTGCTCTAAGCCTTGACAGTGTTTCTCAACCCTGGGTGCACATTTGATTTTTAATCACCTAGAGAGAAATGAAAATTACAGATGGCCAAATCTCATTTCTATAGCAAATAAATCAAAATCTCTAGGAGTGGGATCCAAGCATGGATGGTTTTTATAGCTCGCAGGTGATTCTAATGTTCACTCATGATTGAGAACCATTGTTCTAAAGCAGTGGTCCTCAAACAGTGGTCTCTGGATCAGCAGCATCAGCCTCACTTAAGAACTTGTTAGAAATGCAAGTTCTCTTTACATGGATGGAACTGGAAAATGTTCTTCTTAGCGAAGTATCTCAAGAATGGAAGAAAGAAAAAGTATCCAATGTACACAGCCCTATTTTGGAACTAATTTATAGCTTTCATAGGAATGTTATAACCTAGTTTTAGCCTTAGAATATGGGGAGGGGAGGGGGTGGATGGGTGGAGGGAGGGTGATTGGAGGGGTCACTTCTATAGTTTATCCTACAAGGGTACAAGTGAATCTTTCTAAAAGCAGAGTATGAATGTCTTAACTCAATAATTGAGAAAATGACATGAAGGCTATGTTGACCAGTTTGATGAGAGTGTTTCAAAATGTGTATGAAAACACCACACTGTACCCTGTGACTGCATTAATGTACACAGCTATGATTTAATTAAAAAAAAAAAGAAAGAAATGCAAGTTCTCGGGCCCTACACGAGACTTACCTAATCTAAGTTCTAGGGCAGGGGTCCTCAAACTTTTTAAACAGGGGGCCAGTTCAGACCATTGGAGGGCCAGACTGCAGGCCCTGGGACAAGTCAGCTGCTAAGCAGGACAGGCAGCCATGGTGGCAAAACACTCGGGCAGGCTGGATAAATGTCCTAGGCACACCCGGCAGGTCAGATAAATGTCCTAGGCAGGCCACATGTGGCCCCAGGGCCATAGTTTGAGGACGCCTCATCTAGGGTAATGTAAGTAAAAGGTAGTGGCTTGCATTAAAATTAAATTAATCTTAATTTAGTTAGTGGAGTTAGTGAAAGGTTACAGATTTGAGGTACATTTTAGAAGGGAATCATCAGGATTAGTTGATGAATTAGATGGGGGGACAGAGGAAGAAAAGAATGAAGAGTGACTCCCAGGTGTTTAGCCCAAGTTTCTAGGTGAATTATGGTGCCATTTCCTGGACTGAGGAAGACTGTGCAAGCATCTCTCCAGAAAGTTTTAGGAACTCCTGTCTTGACAAAGTCCAATATTTAGAAGAGATTCTGAAGTATCAGCCTTTGCAGAAAGTAAGTGTGAATAAGTGTGAAGGATATTGGGACTGGGCAAAGTCACACAGTTGGGAAACAAAGTCTGTTAACTCTAAAAAGTCTAAGGTCTTTTATGCTAAACCATGCTTTCATTTGTCTTATTATTTGCCATATATGTTAGCACAGATAATTTTCCCAAGGATAAATTCTGTAAGAGTTTGCAAAAATAGTCTGAAGGTTGCTCCTGAACCACAGTTATTTCTGGAGCCCTGCTGTTCTCATCCCTTTATGAAA